ATTAACATCAATATCTTCCCCCTCGTATATCTAATGAAACTTTTAATAACTTATTTTTATTTATGTTTGTTTGTTATTATATATTATTTTTGTACAAATATTATATATATAAACATAAACACAAACTTAATTTTTATAAGTGTATATTTCATAAACATTGTATATGTTCATTTGTACGCAAAGTTTACTGCATCCAAAGTTTAATAAATTTAGAAAGAACAGAGGGGAACGTATGAAGCGGCCCTTGAGTCATCCCAATACTACCAACTTTAAATTTGATATATTTTCATTGTCCAACAGCCCTATATTTTTCATTTAACCATAACAATATATACTTGTATTATTAGTTTTTACCCGTGACTTCGTACACAAAAATAAAAGATATTGATTGACCAAAATAAATAGTAGTAGCTAAATTTCGTGACCATTGGTTGAGTCATTAAAGCGTCAAGAGATAACAAACGCATTTTTACGTAAATAATAAATTTGAACATTATTTACAGAATTCGGCGTTGCATTTTTGAGTGCGACCATTTCCAGACCACCTGTCTTCAACGCTAATCATCCATTCGTTTTCTTCTTGAAGAACGAACAAACTACACTTTTTAATGGAGTTTACCGCTCTTAGGTAAATCTCCAAAACATTACATGATTTACATTTAATACGAGCTTCAAAATTAAACTGCATTAAAACTAGTCAGTGCACATTAGCTTAAATAAAATACAACTTAAAACTAAAAAATCCTGGAATGTTACGTACTCGTATATAGCATTCTGCAAAGTAAATCCGTTTCATTAAAATTCAAATATAAATAGGCGTATTTCATAATTCGTCAAGACATTTATTCATATCGTATCTGTAATGTCAATTATTCCATAATATATCATAATATAAATATAAGCCTAGCTTCGCTTGTATAAAAATCTTTATCTCCCTTTTCCACAGGAATTTTACTATTTCATTTTCATATAAACAATATATATGCTATATTTCTAGTCATTAAATATTTTATTAATAATTCTCATGTTTATATTACTTATACCTTTTGAGTTGATTATATCCATGATAACATAGCGCTCGAGCAATTTAGTAGCAAAACTTATGTCAAATCCTAAACTTAAGTGGGGAACGCTAAGATATGCATACTTATTGCTCCGACATATTGATGTTGTAATCGCAAAACGTTTTCCTTGCACATTTTCATATAAGTAATAAGTTACTAACAGAATAAATATAACAATTTCAGTTATACACGTCGTGACGAGAGCTTTTTTCGTCATACCTAAAATGCAATTCGTGGCCGACCATCCATTCGTCTTCGTGATTAGAAGTAATCATGTCGATTTGTTCTCAGGAGCATATCTGTCAAGTGATAATAATTAAGTAAAATGTAATGCACCTATTCAAAATTCATAGCACGCGAGATCAAGGGATAGTTTTAAGTTTGGAACCGTGTGAGGCATTTCTAATGATACAGTCAAAATTGTTGTAATGCAAAACCAAATTCCGAAAATTTAATATAAAACTACTCGGAAATTGTGTCGCCGTAAACAAATTATAATACATAAAAGTTATTTAATAGTTAATATTTAATTTTAAACTCACAACAAAATTTAATTTTAATATCTATAAATAATACAAGGCAAATTATTATATAATAATATGTAATTAAAACTAAGTATTTAAAACATTTTTTCTAGCCATTTCTACTTGTAAAATCTGTAAAAGTACCAATTTTCTATGAGTATGTAAACTCTCTATTACACATAATTTACCGTACCTACTGTAATTGTACGTTTAATTCAAAATAAATGGAAGCTTATATTGGTAACTTGTATCTTTGTTACACGTGGCACTTTTGCTAATATTACGCTACTAAGGTTATATATGTGTATATTGTCTACAAAAACATTATTAGTAATACCTATATATTGTAATAATATGTTATCATTGACACGACCTAAAGCATGATTATTTAAACAATGCTAACTATTGCAAAGTGTATTTGTATATCGCATGCATGGAATAACAAATGGTGAAATTCAAATGGCTTTTGATTTAAATTAACTTTTTAAAAAGGATATATGCCAAATATTTTTATACGCAGTAACGGCAACGATATATTATAATCTAATTTATTTATTTATTAAATTATATTTAACGAAAGAGTTGATCCATAAAGCATTAAAACCTGCTGAGTCTAAAGGAATTATTAAAAATATATTCACGATTATACTCTATGTTTGCTTCTTCAACATTGTTCTATCTATTTGTATTATATATTGAAATCTTTTTAAATATTAGGCATAAATCCTACTACATATATTCATGCATGAATGGTTTAATTTAACTTAATTTTAGTAATAGCATAATCAGTATTTAAATGTAAATACATTTATTAATAAACATTAATTATTTCCTTTTTAAAAAATTTGTAATATATAAGGTGAAATGGAATTCAATGGTATATTTTAAAAGAATTTTGTACTAGAGAAATGGAACATTCTTCTCAAAAATACATGTTTGAAAAGCAGCAAAAAATTAGAGACTTTTATACTTATTTTACAACTAAATCTACCATATATAATATCTTTTTTTTTTTTTTGTATAGAGAAATAAGTTCCATTTCATTGCTACTCGTAACAATTATAAAAAATAAATAAATATCATTAAAAATCATTGCTGGCAATATTTGTTAAAATTTCTTATTAGAGTATTTTATTTACAATTTAACTAATAATATTTTTTAATTTACAGGTTATTTGACTCTCAAAGGAAGCGATGAGAACGAATTGGGGTCAATTAAAGCCCAATTTTGTTTAATTTTAATAAAATGTATTTTAAAATCAATAATATCTTTTATTAACCATTTGTATTAAATCTTACTAGTATAATAAAATTATAACTGTGCTATGTCAATAAGCAATTGAATCTAGAATAATATTTTTTTAGAAATATTGTTTGTCTTTTAACTTGTCTATCTGTTTGTTTGTTCTTGCATCACGCAAAAACTGATGATCTGTTATAAAATCTGGTGTATATTTTAACTTTGATGCATTTTCTATTAGTCTGTTTCTTTGATTTTCCTACTTCAGAATTCGCTAATAAAAAAGTATGATAGTACTTTAATCTGACAGTTAATTAAACCACTGTGCGTAGTGATTAGTATAGCAAAACTAGACTATTCCGAAAATCCAGAAGACTGCTCGATTTGCTGCAAGCCTTTTACAAAGTAACCCTAGATGATCGGATACAAGTATTCGTGCCAGCATAAATCTGTGTTAGTAAAGGCATTGTTCATGTCTATCAAGGATCGTCGGATCATTGTTTGGTGCGGAACGAGGTGCCTCTCATGAGTCCAATTCCACCTTGTTCTACGGGAAGATGTCGCATTTGCAGATTAGGATGAGATGCGAATTTTTTTCGCATCTTACACATGGAGGCAGGTTTGCTTGCTTCACACTGGATGATCGACGCCATCGCTGATTCTATCGCCGATATGGAGATCCCAGGCCTGGTATTGAGCCTCTTGTAGAACAGCATCTCATTTGAAATAGGAATACTTCCTAGTCTGGGCCAATGGTGTGGTGTCGCGAGAACCTAACACCAGTGCCCATAAAAAGAAGTACAACTCTATCTCTAGGTCTTTCAAAAGAGTTATAGCCACAGCGAAGTTAGACCATAAAGGCACTGTTCATGTCTATACCCGTATACCACTTTCCACCAGGTGAACGTCAGCTTATTGGCCATACCCAGTTGCATAAAAAGACATCAGTCAAAATTCTAAATATTCTAAATATTATTATAAATATCAACAACTTGATCGAAATATAATATGACCATTATTTTTAACCTTTCATACTAAATCGACCGCGTCATAATGTGTTTCGTATAACGAATCAATATTTCTTTGTATTCGCCTTTGACCTCTTTTATAAAAAGTTGTACATTTTCATAACTTTTTCAAGATATTTTCGTTCTACAGCAACCTTTATATAAGTAAAATGTTTTATATTACAAAAAATAATAGTAAATACCAAATAATGTACATATTACACGTCTTATAAACTTAAATAGTCAAATAAGTACTGAATGGATTTTTTAAAGACGCTAGAAACTAACAATCCTGAGACCATGCCCTGATGGTAATGGGTCTCCATGATGATGATGATGATAATGAACGATAAATTTGTATACTATTTCCTGCAGATGTTTGCGTGCATCGGTAAGTATATAAAGTGTTCTATATATTAAGATATAACTTACCCGCGTACCAAATTTTATTTAAATCCGTTCAAGTGTTTAAGCATGATTGAGTAACAAATATCTAAACATCTTTACAAGCATTATATATCATCAATCAATCAATACATACTCGTATAATAAAATCGTAACTGGTCGCTGTTTGTACATGGAAGATATATGGGCTTTATGAATGCAATAGGATAAAAAAACATATATTTTTTTTAATTTTTGTATTTGTCAATATATCCGTTTGTCTGTACGTTTGTAGGCGCCAATCTCAAAAACGGCTTAACCGCTTTGAATGCAGTTTTCACTAATATGTTACAGTTTACTCCACTTAACATTTAATGTTTGCTTTATTTCAATCGGTTCATAAATAAAAAAGTTATGTCAATATAAAAATCACATATAAAATGCTATAAAAAAACCGATTAGTTGAATTGGCTAATACTTTATGAAGATAGGTTATATATCATATTTTAACTCATAAGATATTTTATATACCGATTCACGCGGGCAGCACCGCGGGAAACAGCTAGTTAGTTTAATAGGTTGAATAACATTAATATGATATCGCATTCAGCACACTACTATTATGTTACTACTGCTACTTCTCTTGTGATTATCGCCTGATGTCGAGAACTCTGAGACCACCTTCGTTAAGTAGATAATATTAAGTCATAGAAAAAAATAGTATCTTTTTCTTATGGTGTGCATATACACATTACAACACATACTAATACTAGCGGCATATGCCTAGAATACAGGCGAGATTGCCTTTTCATTATCACTCATTTAAGAAAAAAGCGAATGCGGTATACGTATTTAGCGGTGTAATGCGCACGCCGCATTCAGCGTTGTAATGCGCACACGTATTTTACACACAAACAACTCGAGGCACTGTGCATTCTTCAACTAGTAACGTTAATAAGACGAAACCAGTGATACCCACTGTGTACAAGCAACCAGACGTGACATCTCGTTGAGGCAATCGCAACGTGACAGGATAATGAGCTCACGTGAGCCGTCAACTGCAGGCGCCGCCGCCGCACCCACCATTCTCCACAGACGATAATTTCCGGACTCTGACGAACGCGTTTCCAATTTCAAACCTCGGTAAGCACTTTTCATCTGTTGTTTTTTCGATTTGATCCGTTTAAGAAAATCTTATCAAAAACAGGACGTGCGTGCGTTGCATGCAGTATCATCTATAAAAGCGAAGATCAATAAAATTAATATGCCTAATACGTCTGTAAACAAGATTAAAGGTATTTACTTACTTGTCCTATACAGTTGTATTTCTGATAGAAGCAGGTGCCTACGCCCAACGTTACTTCCCTATTTATAATATTTAGTATCCTGAACACAGCACCAAACTGCTGTATTTACTTTATTTATTTATACTGGAGGTACTCATACTCATGATGTCAATAGAACTAATGCTGACGTGTAAACCTTACTTACTTTAGAATACGTTAGAGTAATGTAATAAATACTCATACCTAGTCAATTTATTCTTATAATTAACTGACTAATTAAAAATCCTTTTTTTTTATGCAACTTAGAATGACAAACAAGGCGACGATCCACCTAATGGAAAATGGTAACCGTCACCTATAGATATGAGCAGTACCATGGAACAGAATATGCTAAACAGAATATACTATTTCGCCCATGATACCTACCCATGCGTTGCCATTCCTAAGCACTCAGGTGTTATTCCTCTGTACCTTGTAAAAAAGGGACTAAAATGTTGGAAACATTTAAGTATGTTTTTTGTTTCTTTTTTTTTTGATCAACATGAAACTTTCAATAAAAAAATAATTATCAAGGTCGGTTCAGAACGCCCATAACAAAAATAAATGAAAAATAAAACTATTATTGATTTTAAGATACTTACAAAACAGAGGTGAGAAAATTTTAAATTAATTTTAGATATAAATAATTCACTACCAGAGGGAGACTTTCATTGAAACTCGTATTCAACTGTGTACCACCCGGTTTTCTGTCGTGTAGTAGCTTTAATTGGTGGGACCTAACAACTAATATACAGGATACGGAGGCATGATACCATAATCCCCAGTAACGCCTACGCATGAGGGATACTATTGGCATCACATTACATTTTCTAATGTTTAAAATACTATTCATGTCTATAGATAACATTTACCACCTTCCATTAAGTAGGTGTCAGCTTCTTTGCTATTTCAGTAACTTACACATCACATAATTCTCATAAAATAATATTCTAATAAAATACTATTAAAATGGGAACATTCCAGTAGTGTTATCTATAATTGCCTTTACGCCGTCATTCATCTGACCTGGAGACTTGGAGTTCCTTTGCAAACTTTGACCATTTCGCAAATAGACAACTTAATTCTGATCTTGATACCAACTTTTAACAGGTTAAAGTCAAACAAATTCTGGAAACTGAATAGCACTAATCTATATAAGCGTTTATACTCATAAAAATACATCATCATGTCCCAATAGTATTCTACGCCGATTTATAAATCGCAAAAACCTTTATTCAAATTTGATCGATACAAAAAACTGTGTGTGATTTTGTTTTAATGAGACTTAATGTTGGCAGTTGGCAGAAATTAAAATTCATATTCTTTATAAGCAAAAAAAATACTTATATTACATATTTATTTATTCTTTATTGACCACATTACAAAAAAAATCTGGTACAAAAGGCGGACTTAATACTATATAGCATTCTCTCCCAGTCAACCTTTGACAAAACAAAAATTTAATTATGCGGTGTAAAAAATTGAAAATTGTTGCAAATAAATATTTACACGTACGTACACTTAAAAATCACAACACATACAATAGAGGACTACTGCACATTATAATTATATAAATATACATACATGAATACATATTCTTCGATAGATTATGACTCACATAATACAATGACATACATAATATGTAGATACAAAACTTAGTCATTAATACTGCTACACATCTTTTTTTTATTTTAATTAATTAAATTGTTTACACATTCTTGATGAAAATCTAACAACTGCATACTTTACAAAAGATCCATTAACGTGCCATTATTACACAATTGATGCTTTTACACGAGTAAATAGTAGACTAATTATATTTCTGTTGTATAAACATCCAATTATAATTTTAATGCGATTTACATTTTAGCACTATCCTTTCGCACGATGACTAGTACTTACTCCATGTAAGAAGCGACCTCGTCGCGTCGGTTCCGTTCGCTTCCATTCTCATTGTCCGAGCGCACCCACATTACTACACCAATTTGTTGAGGCATAGCTCTACGGAAACTAGCTGATAGACCACGCTTTTGTGTTCTAATGAACGCTTTCAGACGAACAAACGTAACAACGCGTAGATTAATGTCGGCCACCTTTCACCGCCCCGTTATCTTTATGGGGCAGACTCATTGTTTTGTATTGAGCGATGTCATGATTTATATTGTCTTGCTAAGTTAAATGAAATCCTGACGCTTGAGATGAAGACAGAATGGCCGGCCGCGGAAAGGTTTTGTTCAGCACACTGTAGTGGAAGATAGAGTTTCAATTTATTCTAAAGCGTAAACCTGTGTCTATACATAATTTTGATAGAATTTTATGATAAGTAAATTAATCAATTTGATTCAAAGTGCATACTTTTATAGTGGATATTTCAAACATAGTTTTTATTTCGCAAAAAAGATGGCTTCAATTGTAACAAAACAATTATTTTGATTTAAAAACTAAACTAATGAAACTATTTTAAAAAGAAATTAACCAAACTGGTTTATAACTGACGAAGTTATAGCGTAACAAACATAAAAAAAAAACGGAATTGGGAATCTCCTCCGTTTTTAAAGTCAGTTAAACACAATATTATCTACATCATACCACGGCCCTGCCCGCGTGAATCGGTATTTAAAATATCCTATAAGTTAAAATATGATATTATAACCTACCTTCATAAAGTTTCAGCCAATTTAACTGATCGGTTCTTTTATAGCAGTTTATATGTGATTTTTATATTGATATATTTTTTTTATTTATGAACCGATTGAAATAAAACAAACATTAAATGGAGCAAACCGCAACGCATTAGTGAAAACCGCATTTAAATCGGATACGCCGTTTCTGAGATAAGCGTGTACAAACGTATAGGCAAACAGACAACAATTCTAAAAATAGTTATTTTGGGTTGTATTGCGTTCATAAAGCCTCCTTGTAATAGTTTTTCTTATATAATATTATTATATATTATATAATATATATCTTCTACAGTACAGGCAGTTAGGATTTTATTATATGTAGTGACGAAAGTTCAGATGTTTAATAAATAGATGTCTGAATGTTTTCATTGGAACAACCTTAATGCATAGATAATCTACATGACAAATTAGTTAAATTCTCTAAATGTTATGTAAATTTTCTTTTATATGTAAAATGTACCTTAAACTCACTATATGTTTTGGGAAAATAAGTGAATTGAGCAATTTATAAATAAATATGCTATTATTAACTCATAAGATATATTAATTAGATAATAATTTACATCATATGTCTGAAGCCACAAGATACAGCTAGTAGGTAATAGAGGAGAAATTAATTAAATAAGCTCAGTAAGGCAACAACAAAGCCGAGACATGCCTATTTAAATTGCACCTCTTTAATTATTGAATATTTTCCTTTGAAAATGAAACCGCAGCCGTTTGTACAAGTACAAACGTAGGTTGCAGTATACAGGAACAACTTCAATTAAGAAACAATGCAGAGAAGTCTTAACAGCGTTTTCTTGTTAGCAGCAGTATAAAAGAGAAGCAATTAGCCCGTAAAGTGAGTGCTGTAGAAGTGCAGACAATAGCGGGGCAAGTTCAACACACCTGCGCATTCACACCGCCTTAAGTGGATACATGCGACTTGATACGACAACGTCACGTGGTTAGTATTGTGTTATTGAATATGTCAATTCGTATTTATAGGCATTTATTTTTTATTTGCCAATTTCTCGCCTGATAATTGCTTCTTCTAATACTGTTATATGATGTTTTTAGGGTTCCATACCAAAAATAAATAAAGGAATCCTTTGGTGCGACTTTATCCATCCGTCTGTCACATAACTCCTAATGCTATCAAATTGAAATTTGATACAGTTTTACATATTATTAACTCGCATATATCGCAATGGAAGTAATTGAAGAGTAATTTTTTGCTGAGGGGTCCAAAAGGAGTACACCAAATATCAAAATGGAACAAATTGTCCAAATGGAATGCTATATGAAACATCTTCATTAGTACATTTTAAAACAAATTTTTATGTATTTATATACTGCATAACTTTGTACTGATTATCGAAATCGAGCTGAGTAATTTAAAAAGCCTCCAAAATTATATTATAATATTTATTTATTTAATATAAATGCTTAAAAAATGACATGAATTTTTGCCCTCTGTACAATTATTTTAGCATGCAGTTAATAAAAAGAAATCCCAAAAGTATAAATCGAAATAATTGACTCTCTTTGTTTTATGATAGCTATTAAATTCTTTTATCGCTGGGTTCCCCTGAACAATCTCATTTCATTACAGTGAGTTATATCTATTACAGGTTTGTAATTAATTAAACGGTGCCCTAACCTAATAGTGCGAATAGAGAGATTTATGTGACACCACCTTCTGCCCTTAACTGACGCCGAACATAAAGAATAGATATTTGGTACGTTTACTGCGTGGTACGAGTATATACACACAGGCACTTGGTATTTTCAAGTGATTTCAAAAAGAAGAAGGTTCTCGGTTGTATTCGGTTGTATTTTTTTTTTGTTACCTCATAACTCTGTTATAAACCGATTTGGAAAATTATCTTTTTTATCTGAATGGATATGTTTACAGATTAGTCGCATAGAAATTATATTAAAATCGGTTCAGTAATCTTTCAAAATATCAATTAGTCAGTCTTTAAATCAAAATAAAGGGTTTTCTTTGTGGGACACAATCTTTAAAAAACTAGAATAATCCACAAAAGAATAGAATCTTAATTCTATTCTTAGTATTTTTGTTTAGGATACGCAATATTTCATCAATTCTCGTGTTGATTTTACAAATGTTTTTAATAACACAAAGGTGGCAAATAACTTACAGCCTATCTGAAGGTAAAGTTATTGTAGCCTATGGATGCCTGCTACACTAGGAGCGTCACGTGCACGACAAATTTCTTCCTTGTTGGAAAAATATTAACCAATTTTATTAATATTGGAACTGAAAAAACTGTCAAAATTAGTATGCGATCTAACTTTAGGACTAGCATAGCCGATTAAAATCTCAAAAAATGATAAAAGGGAAAAAATGTAGTCAGATTTTTATTCGCGACACAATTTTTAATATTTATAGTGTGTTTCAATAGAATTTAATGAAAAGGTAACCAAGTTTTGTTTAAATTATGACAGAAACACTTTCTAAATGAAATTACTATCAAATCGAAACTTTCAGTTATTTATTTAATTTTTATTTGTAATAGATACTATTTAATAGACTATCTTTTTTTTTTCCTCTTTATTTAGGTCAACAAATAGTAAACACAATAACAATATATATACATATGCATCTAAATATCAATAATTTTAGTATCACCAACGACGTTGGCCACCTTTTACTATAAAACAAAATATGCATACATTAACATAACATACATGAATGACAGAAATATAAAGAAATGCGTACCAGTGATCCACTCAAAATCAAAGAACTTCCAAATTGATGTTATATATTTTAAAAATTAAAATTTATTTACCAGCAATAAATAAGTAAACACAACATTAACAACAAAATATCATTCCTCCACCTCAAGTAGACCACCGAATCTTAGTAGAGTAAATTGTTCGTTAGTTTATATTTTAATTCTGTTGAAACAAAGTATATAACATTTTGTAAGTATTAGTATATAGTCGTATAATAAGATAAGAATGATTTTATATCTATATTTATATAGTTTAGGTAGATCATCATCATCATTATCCCACAGAATGCCATAAGGAACCGTCCTGAGGTACCTGCATCTACTGACTTCCTGCAATGCATTTGAGGTCGTCAATTCATTTAGTGGGGCAGTCTTTCCATACTGCGTTTGCTGAGTTTACGAATATTTAAAAATATAACCATGGTACATACAATAATATTAACAATAAACATATAATATTAAAAATATAGTTATTATCTATGTACACAATTGACCTACTTCAAAAATAATTTGCGTACTAAACTTAGATACCGTATACGCCTCTCTGTATATAAACACATTTCAACATGTGCAGGGTGGCGAACATTGACACAGAGTAACGAGGGGCCCGTAGCATTAAATTTTCAGGTCCAACCGCATCGGCACACGACATGGGCCCAAATTGAGGTAAATCGGGCCAAGCCCATCGACCTCACGCTATACCTCACTTTGAACCCCTAATCAAAATTTTAAGGCAATTTCACTAGAAAAATTAGCCAATTTACCAATCAGTTGAGGCTCATTTTAGCATTATCTTAAAATATAGTAGATTCTATCGCCGAATAATTGATTATATTATAAAATTAAACGATAAAAATTGAAACACTGTTACTTTTTTCAGTGCATTATTTCTACTATCTTTTATGTGACGTAAACTCGATAGCGCACAACTTTTTATCGCGTTTACTCATAGAGCAAGTAATCACTACACGCATATACCATAAGTGACACTTATAAAAAAATTTTGATGGAAAAAATTTAATTTAGAACACGGAATCGTGCGTCTATGAGTAAATTTTAACAAAACTAAATCTTAATTAAAGTATTTACACTCATTTAATTAGGGTAAGGTTTTTAATTATTTTTTTATATATCAAAATTACTTGAAAATTGCCGAAGTAACTACTTAATATAAAAACAAATTAATTAAAAGTCTCCTAAAAGTTAACCCTTCCAAATAAAAACGCAGCCAACGCAGACACTAAAGGAACCCAACGATGGAGTTTTAAAAAATAGATCAATTTCATATACAGAAATAATACACATATCGTAGAAGCGTTGTGTACTCGTACATGTAAATACTATCTGTAAATTAGCTCATTAAGCTATTCAACGCTGAAGCAATCAGTTACGTTACAGTCAGCCAATTTTCAACAAATTTCCTAGAGTTACATCGGCTTCAAAGAGTCGGTGGTTACTTTGAAGTTGTGTGCACTTTACTATTATTTATGAGGTTCAGTTGTTCAAAGGTTTCCTTTGGCTCTCATCAGTTTGTTATACATTATGACCTCTATAGCTTAGTGGTAAAGTAGCCTATGTAAGCTTTACATACGTAAATCTAAGGATTTTTTCATGGTAAGTAACAAACTTCAAATACCATCATTATATACAGTAAAACATCTGTTTTACTATGTAGTTATAAGAAAGAAAACATATAAATGTAAACATTAAGCCAACAACAAAAAGAGTTACATTAATTATCAATAGAAAAAAAACTACATTTGGCCAACGGGGCCGCTACTCGGCATGTGCTGCAGCAATTCAATTGCTACAGCGCTATAAGTTTATTTGTTTCATTGTAATGGTGATGAAATAGTCAAAACTTCTATCTATTGCTATTTTGTTACTGTATTTTGGGTGACACCTAACATTTTTGCAGCTTTTACAATAAATGAATTAAGTACCTAATTAGTGCGAGTTGTACAAATATTTATGTTACGACCGTTCACTTTAACACCGTTAATTGTGTATAGAACTAACGAAATAATAATGATTAATTGATATTTTCAAAACGATCCATAATTCTGATAAATCTAAAGTAAGTTATGTGTTCGTACTTATTTGTTTTTTAAAACATAACTCCAGGATTTTACAATGAAAATAATATAGGTAAGTAACCTATATAACTTGGGGGGAAGAGATTGTTAGTAATGAGGAGGTTAATTCCCATTGCTAACAATATACCGTATCAGGTCGACCTCCACGCGGTTCCCCCTGGAAACCATCGTGACTAATTTATCACTGAATTCGTCACGATGGGCTGACTGACCTGCTTTTTTCATTATTCACCTATTATCCCTCACTGGTGCCCCGCCAGCGTATCCCGTTAGCACAGGCGGGATTACTATTCCATTAATCATGCATTAAAAAAAACCTATATAACTTATTTTTCATATACATAGTTCATTACATGTAATTTGCTGAAAACTATTTTAATACTCTATACTATTATTGTTATTATTAAAAGTGAATAAATGAACTGACACCGTATTAAAGTATTTAAGCTGATCGCGTTGGCAGAAGCATCAAAAGAAGAAATTCGCAGAATTTTAAACATGCAGGTATATTCAGAGTACTCCCATTATTCGTTGTACATTATTCATGAAGTCGGTGTCTCCGTAACGAGTCAGTTTAAGAGTGGTACCTATCATCGATAATGAACTAAAGGTTTTTATTTGAATAACAATTCTTTATATTTAATTTTGAACTTCTTTGCACAAATGTTAAATTAAATTGTGAATATTTTTTTTATACCAAATAAATGGTCGTATCTCCAAATTGATTCGACATAAAATTTATATTTTTTATATCAAGCATACAGTATACAGGATTATCAAGCATACAGTAGTACGAACCTTCCACAGAAGCATGGAAAGTAAGAGAACACCGCCGCCCATATGTACCTATATGACACCAAAGCGAGTGACCAAAGGTATCACTTGCATAATGCCATCTCATCAGACCTAAAGGTTGCTTCATAGTGAGTACTCAATAGTCATTTCGATATCTCATCAGATCAAACATCTAAGATGCTAGGTGCAAGAATTAATGGTGTGATTTTTATGCAACTTTCAAACTATCTGTCGGCCCAACTAATGAAAAATAGTAAACGTAGCCCATAGAAAAAGACAGCGCCATGAACTCATAAAATACACTACAACACCTATGCTGCCTCTCATGCGTCATCATGCCTAGAAACTAAAATAGTACCTATTATTATAAAAATGTGATAGGCTAAACTTTCAATCGCACATTCTCATAGAACGCATGAAGCACATGATATTGAAGGGAAATATTTCAGATTTTATATCAAATATTTCAACATAACTATTAATATAAATATATCATGTGATTAATTAATTTAACTACCATAATATTTCACTCTCCGCAACCACTTTCATTGGCGTTTTACGATTATATATACATTTAGTCTATTGTAATAACAAACATGAATGTAAAAAAGCCAAAACAAGTATGCCAGTATAGAAAATGGCATACAATAGTGTCAGCATGCCTTAAAAGTAAATATAAATTTTAGTAATTTTGAGATGTTTGGATAAAGTTCAAATATTAGTAAAAAATACTAAACAAATTAATAAACTCTTTGACTATTTAAACTAAATAATATTTCAATTCGAAAAACAAAAATCGAACCTAAAATTTAGACCAATAGGTATCTTCAGCCATTAAATGAAAAGCTATAAATCGCATCGGCCATGTTATTTTAAATTAGCTGAACAAACGTCCATCAAGTCAAACCCTACAGCCGAGCACACTAGGCCACGTCAACCTGTTGTTTTTAAAGCAATTTTGTGATCAAAG